GCTCTTTGCAAAAGCGCTTGGTCCTGTGACTGTGCCCAGGAATGAGTCAGGTCCCTGCAATGACAGATGCATGAATAAATCACTGCTGAGTGGTGTGTGCACAGGGAAAAGGAGGCTGCTCTGGGCACAGGGAGGTGTCTGGTTAGGCTGGGTAGACACTTAAAGCAGAGTTTATCCTAGCGCTGAGAGTGAAGCAAGTGCTCCAAATTATTTCTTTGCATTTAATTTCTTCCAGGTGCAAAAGCAGAGGAAAGCCTGCTTTTCCCTTCCACGCAGAATCAATCTCTTGGATGCCCCATTTTGGTTCCTGCATTAACTGCTAATAAAACTGGCTCCTCTCTCCTAGGCAGGGGAGATGCTGGCAGAGCAGCATTTACATTTAAAGGCTTCTTCTGAATATTAACAAGTCTCCATCACAGTTTCTCTACATGGTCTGGCTTCAAGCCTGTCTGGTGCATCAGTTTTTCTATCTTCACTTTATGAGCCCTTACACTTCCATTTATTCACCCTTGCCCTTTTGAAGATAAAGTCATTAATAAGGGCTTCATAGTTCCTTCCTAAATTCAGTTGCCTCCACATGTTCAGCAGGTAACTCTAGCACTTGGAGCTGACATTAAAAGTACAGAGCAGATTTCTTTCTGCTTTGATTTCTTCTACTCGTGTCACCTCCTTCAGCTCTAATCACAGTAGTGTCCCCATTAACTAGATGATCATATTTTTACCAATCCCAGAGAGAGTACTTTCATTTGATTAAAAGGTTGAATGCTGTTCGCTGGTACGTGGTGACTCGGCATACTGTGGCATCTTCTAATTAAAACACGAGTCATCGTGACAGGCTGGTTGGAGCCACAGAATCATTTCCTATTTTCACATGAGTGCACAGCAACAAATACAATGAAAAAGAACTGAGCCACTTATTGCTCGCCATAAAACACAGGATCTTGTTCTCTCATTCAAAACACTTCTACTCAGAAATCTTTGTGAAAAAAAACCAAACCACTTTTATGGTGATATATCAGACTGTCCCATTTAAAACAAAACAAAACAAAAAAACCCAACAAAAAAATTAGAGGGCTGGAATGTTTGTCTTTTCCCAAGGAAACCCCTGACACACCCCACAAGATCATCTCTCATTTTTGAGAGTTGATCTTGGCCTGAAACTACACACACCAGCTTCACTGGAGCTGAAGCAGCAAGAACCATCATCGACAGAGTGCCTTGTGTTCTTGGCTGAGCTAGAAGGAGCATTTCTTGATACTTTCACGCAGTGTCACATCAGCACAAATATCCTTCTCCCCAGAACAATCCTCTATTGCCTGACATGTGCCCCCTCACGCTCTGCAGCATCTTGGGAAGAGGCTCAGAAGCACATGAATTTCACTTCTAGCTGAGAAACTGAAACCTGTGCAAGGAAGCTGCTGTTGGCAGATGAGTGGAAGTGTGACCTGGCACCTAGGATTTGGTGTTTGGTAGTACTGTCACATTATCTCCTGTGCTGCTTCTGAGGAAGCCAAAAAAGCTGTCATGACACAGGCAATCCTATGTGAAAGGGAAAAACAAGGATTCCTTCCTCATTGCAATGCACTAGCAGCTTGCTTAGAGCAGCATGAAGTCACCTTGAAATTAGCAGATTGCCATTGTATGGTGAGCTGTATAGAAATCTCCTGGCCCACCTAGTTCAGCTGGTTTTTTCTTTTTCTTTTACCTGAATCTTTGTTAAAGAAATGTTGAAATCTTGGCCACATCTAAAAATAACAGTACAATTTCCATCAGTATAGACAGAGATAGAATTTTATTTGAAGACTAATATAGATGCCACAACCAGAAAACTGCCTTAACTGTAGCATTACTGTTTGCTGACACTCTACTAATGGGCTAATGTCAACAGAAATGTTTATTCATGAGAATCCGATAACAAAACTATGTGTTGTGATAAGGTTGTAACAAGGCAGAGAATCCAACCTCCCTATTAGCTTTCCCTGATAAAGCCTTCTGTCTGGAGTATTTTTAATGCCTTTCTGAAAGGTTATCAAAAGAGCCAGCAAGCATCCAGCACATGCTTCTTGAGCAGTGGCTTCCTATTACATCGTACTGAGCACTACCTAAGGCAAATTAGTAAAAGCCATAAGCATGGGAGACGCAGGGAACCGGGGGCCATCTGAGTCAGAACTTTTCCACCATGGCTATTCATAGCTGAGGATGGTGTGGTTCCGACACACTAGCAACACCAAGCATTTCAAGCCTACTGTGGTATGGAATGAACATAACTAAAAGGTTCATTTATTTAATGCCTTTTGGCTACAGAAGTAGTTATGATGTCCCCTACATCTTTCAGTACCAAAACTGAAATGCTGAATAGCGTAGGATGTTTAGAATACCTAAGGACAAAGCTAGGTCAGTCAGTAATTTAAATACAAATGTGCTTCTGACTAGCTAACAGCATCAGTTTGTTGAGAAGTTGAAAAAAGAATTAAAAAGAATCATACCCTGACTAAATGTTTCAGACTGACTCATGTCTGAGTGAGAAAGCATAGTCACTAATGACTGCAGGGGAATGTGCATATGTGCCTTCCAAAAATTGATATGGCTGCTGAATTTCACATCCTACTCATCTGCCAGCAGATTTCTTGGTACACATACTTACATAAAAAAAAAAAAAAACAAAAAACCCAAACCCAACGAACCTTCCTGAGCTGCATCTGAGTGATCTAAGTGTTGGGTAGAAAAAACTGATTATTTAAAACCAGAACAAGATTTAATTTAGCTATTCCTTTTTAAGGATGCCAAGAGAGTTCTGCAGAATTGTTGTGACCACCCTGAGCATACAGGAAGACAGACAAGAAATAGTAGCTGTTGGTGTAATGAGGCTACAAAGTAATTCAAATATTCTGGAAATTATTTTGTTATTATTGATATGGTTACAATCATATTTATTTTTTTTACCTTTCCCACTCTCCATCTGTTTAGAGAAGAAAGAATTTTCATGTCTAAACGAGTCCTTTGTGAGAGCTGCCTTTGCCCTTTCTTGGTACAATCTCTTTGCCACACCAGCCGTCACAAACCACAACCCCATCCCCTGTGTCTCAGCCCTGCATCGCTCTAAGCCTCCTTCCAGTCACAAGCTGGGCTCTCAGAGTTGGTGCAGTTGTGCTGACCTCAGTGCGTTTTCAGTGCCACGTTTAAGATGTTATTTTGAGAAACACTGGTTTTAATTTTGAACATTTTGAAAAAGATTAGGGAAGATTTATTGCAGAGCCCACACATCTGAAACAGATACGAAATGTGCAGACTTTAGATGTTGGGATACTGTTTCTTCAACATCTTGCCTGTTTTTTTTCCATTAGTCAATGGGTTACATATTTTTCTACTCCTGTAAGAATGTATTTTACAGCAGTTTGAGATGTGTATGTTCAAAACACTTCTTCCATTTCAGTGCTTTTTTTTTTTTTTTCCACACACAGAGATTTATTTTTAGAAAGACCCTTTAATCTGGGTAGATGAAGACACCAAGCAAATTAGATGCCTTACCTGTTTTTTCTGGTGCAAAAAGTACAACCACCAAAACTTTGGTGCACTTCTTTGTTTACTGCACTAGAAAATGAAGGAATTAAAGACTTTTGAAGGGTAGCTACAATTTCTGATCATGGGAGGTATGTTCCAGGATTTGTGAATGTCTCACAAGTTACCATGCTACCCTTATAAAATATAATTGGCTTTGAATACAACTGTACCAGTTAAACTCCATTACCACAGGCCTCAATGGAAACAAAGCTTGAATGCACCTGAAAAGGTTTAACACTTTAGTAATTCATAAATATCCCCTATACCCTGCATAGCAACAGCACCTTTTTTTTTTTTACTCCTTTCTCACTTTCCTTTTGCTACCACTTTCTTCTCCATCTTTCTTATCACTTCATTTTACTTTTTGGTACCTAATTAAGTAATTTACTGCACCCCAGTAACTAGCACTGTGGTAGTAGCATAATATATAATTAGACCCTGCTTGTTCTGGTAGTTTATATATATATATTTTTTTTTTAAATATTGGCAAGACTGTTCATCTCATAAGTTTCTTACATTTGATTACTGCTATTGCATCTCTCTTAATTTATCATTTCAAAGTTATAAAGGAAATGATCTACCAAGTCTGGCAGGCACCCTGTTCCCAGAGAAGTTCTGATAACTTGGTATAACAGGAGTGATAACATGTGCTGATGCTGTCTATTGAGAGCAAGCCATAAATTTGAATCCAGATTCTCTGTGATTTAATCCAAAGCCCTACACTGGTGCCAGAAGTGCATTTTAAGAAAGACGAAAATATGTAGAGGTACCTATGAACAGTAAGATTTTACCAGTCCCTTGGAAAAGCTTTAGCTCTGCCATATTTTCCCGTGTGTGTGCTCAAAACTATTTAAGTGCATGTATGTGCTGTGTGTGAAAACTGCGTGTGACTGACTGAGAACTTGAGAAGCCACCTCAGGTCCTGGCATTGCAAGAATAAAAACTGTATCCAGAGAATGAAGGGAAAAACTGCCTGTCAGAAAATGAATGTGTGTTAACACACTGTTTGTACCATACCTAAAGGCAGACTGAAGTGCTGAGTCTTCTTCACTGAGCTACATTCCCTCATGGGCTATCACACTCTCACGCCATCTCTGTCCACTGCATTACATACAATATATGCACAACTCGGTACGGGTTTTCCTTGGCAATTCATTCTTAAGACAATGCATGAATACAGGAAAGACAGCTACACCATGTGATTTATCTAGTGGAAGATGACAGTCAGGTGGAGGCTTCCTCCAGTAATGTAAGAAACTTGTGAAGTTACAAACAGCAGGAAATCTATATACAGCATCCAAATATCCTGCAATGAGTGGCAGAAATCTGTATGAACACTTCCCTCCATGAGGCTCTCTGGGCATTTAATACCTCAGCTCCTCTCTGAATTCTTGGAATTTTCAAAATCAAGCTGACAGCACATTAAAAATAAACACTGCTTTATTTGCCAGATTTAACTCTAAGTAAATGTATATACATAAGTTAGCTGAATGCAATGTTTAAAAAATTTATTCCAACATTAGTGTATCATATATATTAGCAACATACGTAACAGACAAAGAACACCACTCAAGATTACGTGACAGTACAAGTCAAAACAAGCAGTACACAAAGAACAGTAGGAAAGTCCATCTATTTTCACTCTGTTCTGCTGTCTCAAACTGATAGTATTACATAAAAAAGTAAAAGCATAATAACAAAATGTTCTAGAAAAAACAGTATAGTGTCTTATAGTAGCACTCTTATTTTGCAGTCATTTGCTTAGGACATACCACACAATCTTTCCAAGGTAAAAATACTAAATTTTAACTGGAAAAAAAAAATTCCCTGATTTTATTACACTTGAAAGGCCCATTTTCTTTTTAATTCCAATAAAGCAATCTACTGTTGCTTAAATTACAGTAGTTCCAAAACAGAACTATCTTCGTTTTGGTTAAAGGACACTTTTAGATACTTATATTAAACACATCAAAATCAAGTATTCCAACAGTAAGAATAAGCGCATTCTCAAACTGACCAGCCCATTTTTCCTATTTTTGTCACTTTTCAAGAACACTTCAGGAAATATGTATGTACGTGAACCATTATAATTCTAACTTTAATAATAATCTTTTGTCAATATACTGCTTAATGACAAGGCAAACTTACATAAAAGAAGTGTTAAGACTTATTTTGTTATGTGGCATTAGCTCTTAATATGACAACACATTTTCAACAGTTTCTATATATGAAGAAGTAATGCTATGAAGTGTTAATGATATATTAAGAGATAGATATTTCTTTTTAAATAAGCTGATACCACATTTTTTCCACTTTCTATTGTATGATACAACATATGCAAAACATCTGTTTGTGTAGCACTAAAGAAGAAGTGATCTGAAAAAGTAAGTCTGAAAGAAGCAAGAAATAAGGGTCAAAACATCAATTCAGATTCAGGGTCTGCACGCGGGGCTTCTGCTTATCAGCGCTGCATCACGAACAAGGGTATTTCCTTGTTTCCTCCATCTTGCATTTTAGACAGCGTTATTCATTCACAATACATCTATTTTGCTGACATCTTTTCAAGTGTAGCATATTAGGACACTTTATTTATTACAGGACCTGAACAAATGAATGTTCCGTAAGCAGGAACAGTGCATTGGTTTTCAAATTTGTTTTCAGCTTCAATCAGATCGTACGTTTTGCATAGAAATATTGTTGTGCATCTCATCACCCTACTGCTTGAAGCAATTGTTTCCACTGCTAACAGTAACAAAACCATGAAATCTATATTAAGCAGTTTAGTTAACGGTATATAGGTAAGAAGCCACAAAGTGCTTGCACTGTGTGAATTGTGGTGGCACATATATAATTACAGTGACTGATACTCTTCTTTGGCTTATACATTAAGCAGCGGAGTTAATTTATTTACACATGCATTCCTCCAATAAATCCATTACTTCAAATATATCTGAATAGTCAAGACCACGGTCAGTTCGTCCTGAACATGAACTGCCAACGTGCTTGATTTATCAACCAAACTCACAGAATGAAGCTGAATAACTTACAGTAACGAGAAATGTACATCTGCTTCAACTCCTTGACTGGCAGCCAAACCATGTGATGTTTGTTCGAGGTAGGCACTTCAATGTTAACACTTTAGCTAACAATGACGGTTCCACTCAAGATACTGATTTAAAACTCTGATACAACATTAAGGTTACTAGCCAAGTATTATTCCAAGACATAGGCTAGGTCTGCTAAAACAAAATATGGCAGCCTTAAGTCATGGAGCTAGTAAACAGTACATCATTTGGCTGTTATGGAATACAAATCTAAATTTTGTGTATACTTCCAAGGAAGTATAACTTTCAAAGTGCAAATACAGTAAAATTTTGAATCTCTCTAGCCAGTGCACTTCAGCATGAGAGAACTCAACAATCTGCTGCTACTTTATCAAAGCAGTCTAGGTATGAACTGCTCTGTGAGCAGTTTGCACAGAACTACAACAGAAGTGTGCCAAGGCAGGCATGGTTTGGCTAACACTGTACAGCTCCGTGTGCAGGTTCACAGTATCATGCTGCCTGCAAGCACACCTCGGAAACACTCATTTCCCCACAGTAATCATTTTCACATCTTTTGCCAAATGCAAACAAACAAGGCACTAAGCATGGAAGTGTTGATATGTTTTAAATACAGAGCAAAATGATAAAAATGCCTAACTGCTTCAAATCATAAAATGAGGACACATTCATAAACAACTGGTAGCTACTTTGCATAAGTAGTTATCATATATTCATAAACTCGATAACTTTGTAGAAAAGCCCCATGACAACACAGAAAAAAAAATTCTTCTTGAAGATTAAAAAAAGACAAACCAAACCCAACCCCCCCAGGCTCCTATGTATATGGACAATAAAAATGTAAACACAGATTACTTAGCATGCTTAAAATCCATGTACAAACCATCCAGGTAGATCAATTAGTGTGGTGGTCCAGCTCCCCACCCACTGCACTGTACTACTCCACAGTACACATCGAGTACAGACACCAGCCCTTCACTGGCATTCACAGAGAACCCAAACAAAGAACCCACACAAAGGAGCAGATTTGGCCAAAACTAGTATCAAGCATAATCTTCCAATGGCAGTTTTTGAGATTGAGCAATAAATTAGCTGTACTTCTCCAAAATGTATAAATCTTTTCAAAAAACACTGTAATTAGATGATTCCACAATACTTGCACTTAAAGAGCAAACTCTTTGGCAGATATCATCTTTATGAAAGTACGTTATGGGTTTCTTTTCCTTCATTAGTATGTATTAACTGAATTCTTTGCCTATAAATAATTCCAAGTGGAATTAAGCCAATAAATCTTTAAAAATCAAGTTCTTCTAAAAAAGTGTATAGAATTTCAAAGCTGCAAACAAATGTTTCATAAGACACAGCGAATACAAAAAAAAAAAAGCCCCAGCCCCTAACCCTTGTATCAGGAGTGTTCTCCTGCTTAAATTATCATGTCATGAAAATAATAATTCTCAGCATTTTCCACAGCAGGAGTTCTCTATGATACCCTTTTCATTCACCTGGGATAAAGCCTGGAATTTGCATTCTGCAACAGGGGGAGGCCTTGGTTGCAATGACCTTATATCCTGTGAGCCCTTTGAGGGTAACATTCCCTATACTGGGAATCCAAATTCATCCAAGATTACACTTATTATTCAAAGTGATGGGTAAATAGAAAACAGTACTGAAGTCATAGTTAAGTAGATTTACTAAACTTAGAATGCTCAGTAAGACTTTTAAAGAAAAGTCTAAAATCTTTGGACTGAAAGCAAAGGGTTGAACCTGTCCTATAGCTTTCAAGATCACGCATCCTGAGCAAATCACAGATAAAAAAGCTAAAACGAGCTAAATCCCAAACAGTTGTCTTTTCAACTACATTGCTCTGGATAACTCCATTCTCCCTTCTGTGGTGATGAACTCCTCTTCCGTGGCCTGCTTACCACCTTGACACAGTCTCTCCTTCAGTTTTTCAAATTCATACTCATACAGGATTTTCTGCGTTAAATATTTTTCACGTTTTATTTTGGCTTTCACGTCTGCAGGGACATCAGGAATCATCCATGCTACAAAGAACTTGACGATAAATACAACATGCTGGGGAAAAAAAAAAAAAAACAAAACAAAAAACAGGAGAAATGTAACAACTTATTACCAAATGAAACACCTATTGTTTTCTCTAACACTGAACAGGTTGGGTTTTTTTTTGTTCACAAGCAGAATACCTTTCATTTAGCTGTCCTGAACAATACATAATAAACTGATGTGCACAAAGATTAAAGCCCTTTTACGCAGAAACTTGAATTCCAAATCATTTATGAATTAGGAAACACAAGAGGAAAGCTTCAGGTTCTGAATCCCTAGCACCACTTTCTACCTCTGTGTGGTTTCTTAGAAAATTCACATTGCCGTGCTGATAATGCTCAGTTATTAAGAACCAATAAAACGCAGTAAGAAAAGGGATGAGAAGAGCAACGTAACAACTCCTTTTTCCCTTCAGAACTTGCAAGACAGTGGCTTAATACTGAAGTGCCAGTTGCACATATTACTGATGCAGCTATTTTTAGGCAATATACATCACTGCAAAAAGCTTTCTGGGCTTTGACTACAGACATCTCACATACAGCTCTAATGAAACCAGTAGGAGTGAAGGTGCTAGTCCTGGTGGTTCATGTCTCTTCCATCTCCATAAAGACCTTTTTTATTCTGTTTTGTTTCTATCAAATCTAGCAGTCTCTTCAGCTATTTTCACTGTTCTTACTCTCAGTTAACTTCCTGAAGTTAAAAGACCTAGTTATAAAATTCATTTAGGACATGACTATTTGGTATTACTTGGTATTACTACTGTGGTATTACTCAGGGAAGGAACTATTTTACACTCTTCAGCAATTCTATTTTCTGCAACATTAGTAACTACTAGAAAAATCGATAAGGTACCAATTTCAGAAAGAAATTCTGTAGGGAATGTACCTCCATAATAATTATGAAGGCCAGTTTTGCAGCAAGAATGTGCCAGAACTGCATACTGTGTAAATATTTCTTCTCATGATCCGGAGGGTATCGATAGTCTCTGTACCTGTTGGATAGAAAGACATGCAGAGGTGAAATGTCATATTCAGTCTGAGACAGACTACAAGCTCAGTGACACTTACAGGCAAATACAGCTGTCACTCGAGGAACCTTTTCATCTTGTTTTAAATGGCCTGTTTCCTTTTGCAGAAAAAGGTTGCCTCTCAATTTGTTTCTATCTCATGTTTGCTTAAACACCCTCACATTTACAGCAACAGCGCAGAGATGAGGATGTGAGAGAAGTGAAATTCTGTACATAGGTTACTTTTTTTCCAGGCAATGATCAAATAATACAGGATGGAGGGTTGGAATGTATCGCACAGTAACGGACAAGTATGGACTAAATGTGACAGATGTTGACAGATTATGGACTGGACAGATTCAGGGTTTAATGGAAGGACAGTCTTCAGTACATGTTCTACACTTGCATGTATTAAGCAGGATAAAGACTCCTGGGGCTTTAAAGCTAAAACATCACACAAATGTAGCTCCTTCTTAAAGTGCTGGAGTTTCTTTGTTTGGTTCATTTGTTTTGGAATTATTTTTTCATCAAGTCAACACTATTACCACAGACATCTCCAAAGTTCTTTCTCAATTCTTCTAGAAGCTCCAACGCTTCTTCTAGTGAGAAACGTCTACTTTTTAAAAAGAAAACAGGATGGCCCAGATTCTTGGTGGTATCTAGCATGGTAACAATTTACTTTAAATACCGTATCTCATATGCAGCTTTACAACCTAAACATCCCCTTAATGATGCTTCCTTGCCCACTTAGGCACTGCAGCCTAAAAACCTTAGAAAATATATGCTAAAGTTTGCAACCTTAGGGACATATATGTCCTCCATCACTCAAAAACCCATAGTTTCATTAAGTAAAAAAACTAACACAAACAAAACACATTAGCAATGAGACTCTCAAACAACAAAAAGGTGATTTTTTTTTTCATTACTGGCATGATCTTTTACCATCTCAAGTACTGCCTTGTTAATAGCTTAAATATTACCTCTCACACTTTAGAATGATGAAAATGACAACACTTACTTTCTAGTAACTACTTAGATCTGCACTGACTTTTTATGCTGTATTCTAAACAAAGTGATAACATAGTTATTATTACACCAACACCAACCTGCATATGACAAAGTTTTCTGGATTCAATTTAGGCTTGTTTCTGTCAGGAAAATCTGAAATTTGGAACACTGACAGACTATTGTTTATGTATCCAGACATAGGCGAGTCTTCATTTTCAGAAGCAGTATAGTAGTAAACTAAACGAGGAATCATATCTGATGTGAATGCAACAATAAAAGCCTGAAAAAGAAATTGGAAAAATAAGTGACACACAGAACTTGTGAGCAGATTCATAAGGTGGTTTTGGTACTGTGACTCTTTTAAGCAAGGGTGAGAGCATTAGGGCACCCAACCTTGGTAAAGATGCTGACTGCAGCCTCTGCTGCAAGGATCAGCACTCAGTGAACAAAATACATGAACAGTCCTTACAAGAGGCACCAAATCCCAAATATCCCCTCACACCAAACTGTCTTCTATCTGTGATAACAGCACTCCTTAACAAAAGAGGAGAAATGGTTTTGAATTCTTGTGAGAAAGAAGGAACTCGAACCCAGCATGTGATCACTTTATGAAAGAAGGGGAGACATTTTCTCCAGCTGTATTTAAAAAGGAAACAATGGCTACGAGCACATTCTGCCTGGAAACTTGAGATGATTAAGATGCTCAGGTACCTTGCTAATTAGGCAATACCTGCAAGTGGGTGTGTTGCCTAAGACACTTGCAGGTCTGATACCGTTTAATATTCTGCATTAAAAAAGAGGCAACTCTCTTGCTCAGCACTCTGCTTTACATTATACTTATGATGAAACACTAGCAGAGAGTTTAGTTTCCAGTTTATAAAAAGTACTCTGAGCCACTGCCTCCACAGGGGCATCCAGAGCAGTTCAACGAGCAGAATTCCCACAGAACACGCCTCATAGTGACAAGACAGAAATGTCATCTGGCCAACAGAATTAATGCACCTCTCCTGTCCCCTACGGTCCCCTCAGGGCCATCAGTGTGCTTCATCAGACTCAGCTCCAGGCTTGCTTATGCCATTCCAAACCACTGGAAAACACAGACAAGTGAATGAAAGATTATGGTCCAGTGAAATGTGGATTGTGAGCTGCATGTCATCAACTTATGGACAAGGCAAACCACCAAATGGCTTGACCCTACTTGGTAGGGTAACATGATTAAGTGAACGCTGTTGATGAAGGAGAAAAAGCATCAGCTGATTTTTAAATCTGCAAATTCTGAGCACATGGAAGAATCAAAGCTGACACAGCACAATTAAGGTACTTACATTAGTGACAACAGACAAGATGGCCATTCCGTTCAGGATTTCTTGCCAAACTCCTATGCTGTGTGCTTTCGCAGCCACAGGTCTCCTGTACTGAGTGGTTAATTTCCAGGAGTCTACTCGAATCTCCAGGATATTATTCATCAGAGCAAGAAGAGGAGCAAGGGGAAAGGACGCCACAAACAGAGTAATGAATCCAAACTGAATCACTGCAAGGGAGAAAACAAAAGTGCCAAAATCTGCCCTACAAAAGTACCCTCAGGGAGAGAATGAAACATGCAAGTTGCCACTCACACACAAATGGCAAACTTCTGCGTGGCTGCACAAGTCATCTCCAGCCTGGCCTGAGCTACATGACAACCTGCCCCAGCCCCAGCCTCCTCCAGTCTCTCTGGGCTGCCATTCACAGCACCCAGGGGAACGGGGCACTCAGGTCCTGTCAATCAGTGCTGCCAGTGATGCTGGATTCCAATTCTTTCATGGTGCTGCAGTTCTCTCATGAATGGAACCTAACTGTAAGGGAATGGGAATGTACTCAGACATCTAATTTCTGAATTATGAGAGAGGAACCAAACCAGGCTATTTTCCTCTCCTGCAGTTTGTACAGAGCAAGCCCATCCTCCTTTTACTTATCAGCTACACTACTAAATGAAAAAAATGAAATGCTTTTACTTTTATCTCAACCTTACTTCCACCTGTTATTACTGGTTTAAGTCAAAATATTAATATGAGTTCTGTATGTAACAGTTCCACTGGGGAGTCTTAACATTAGTTTAATTGAAAATAAAATAGACAAATGATCCCTTTAATCATTACCAAAAGGAAATGTCTCTTGGTACAGAATGTGACAGGCCTCAGTGCAGAGCCAGTGCTGCCACTATATTTTAAAGACAGGAAATAGAACATCTTGTCTGGTTTAGGTAGCGGATAAAAATAAATTCCCATACACCAGTCATGAGCTCTACCATAATTTCAGCCATGAGTTCTTCATCTTAGACAAGCAACACTATTCATACCAGCTTAGCAGCCCCAGGACAATGCTGGAGTGTACTGGTTCCCTTATGATTCAGGAAGAGAAAAGACATCTATTAACAGGCATGGCTGACAACACGGACTGTTCTGTGTGTATTAATTTCACAAGATCAGAGGCCTGTATGGAACACATGACAATAATAAAGCTACAAATCTCTAGACAATCTAGAACACTTAAAACTGTTTCTGTAGAAATAAAACAATACAAGAGACCACTTTTCAACAAATTTTGTCCTTATAATAGACAAAAATTAATGTATTTTTTAAGTGTCTTTTAGATTTAGTTTGGCTTTAGTTTCTAGTTTCAGTTTCTCAGGTTTTGTACACTAGTTTCATATGTGTTGTGGTTTAAGCTCAGAGGGCAACTGAGTTCCATGCAGCTGCTCACTCACCCTCCCCTGCCCAGGGAATGGGGGAAAAGGATTGGAGAGGTGAAGCGAGACTTCTACGCTGAGATAAAAAGTTTAATAATTGCAATAAAATAAAACAGTAATAGAAAGTACAAACAGATTATGTACAATGTGATTGCTCTCCACCTGCTGACCAATACCCAGCCCATTCCCAGCCACTGATCCCAAAACACCAAGATGCTGCAATCGCAATCCCAGGAGCGAGAGAGAACCCCCACCTGCTCGGCCACCCCTCCTTTATATACTGAACGTGATATTACATGATACGGAATATTTCATCAGCCAGTTTGGGTCCGGTGCTCTGGCCATGCTCCCTCCCAGCTTCTTGTGCACCTGCACACTGGCAGAACGTGGGGAGCTGGCCTTGATCTCTTAGAAACAGCTGGAAACATCAGCATGTTATCAACATTCTTCTGGTACCAAATCTCACACTGAATCCAAAACACAGCACTGTTCTAGCTGCTAAGAAGAAAAATTAACTCTATCCCAGCCAAAACCAGGACAGTATGCAGATCTGTTCATGTTACCTTTGAAAAATCCTATTCTGTTACCCACACTCCCTCTGCTGGTCTACTGGAGTGTATCGAAGCACTAACCAGTGCAAACCTAAAACTAGACAGATTCTCTCCGATCCAGTTCGTAGATCTTGTATCTATGGTAGCCATCCTTAAAGGACATTTGGCACTCATCCCATACTTAGAATTTCCACTGACATCAGCTGAGAAAATGCTTGGGAACAAGAACAGAACAGACACTGAGACAGCTGGCAGCACCGAGAATTATGTTCCCCATTCAAATGAGGGAAACAAACAGTCTTTGCAGTGTTTCTGTAGAGTTCTCTGCAGTCTAAGATGCCAAGGCAGGTGTGTTTGTTTTGTTTTTTTAATTGGGCTCACCTATTTCATGATTTCCAGCAGTTAACTGTCTACTGTTTACCAGCAGTGGCATAACATTTAATTGAGAAACCATATTTTTGTAAGTGTCAGTCCAAGGTATCTTGTCCTCAACTCCAAATGTGCATTTTTCAACTTACCCATTTCTAGATATTCATAGAATAGGCCTAAGGCTCCAAACGTCTGCAGATCATGGTCTTGCTCCCAGCGACTGTATAAATTTTCTGGATTATTTCTGGCTTTCCGGCGTCCCCACCAGTTACAAATCCAGCTGTATATGAAGAAAAAAAGTTAACAATGAGAGAAGCAAATCACGTATTCCTTTCTCCAAGCAAGCTCCTTGTTGCGCTTTTACAAAAAGGGGCCAAAAGCCTCTATGAAATGAGCCTACTTATCAGAATTTGTGCTTACTTTACAGAATTGTTCTCAACTTTTTCATATGGCAATACTTGTTATCAGAGACAGAGGAAGCTCTTGGAAGGACTAACACGGGCATCTCAGTGTAAGAGTTAACTTACGGTACGATGGCCTCTTGGATATTTCCCCAGATCTGTTTGCCAGCCATGACTATGGTGAGCTGGGTCGTCAATTCTATCAAACAGCCTGCAGGATCGCACTGGCAGAGATAAACTGGGGGTTAACGGACATGAATAACAGACATTACCCAGACAAACTACACTCTACTGCTCTGTAAATGAAAAAAAAGAAGAGGAGTTCATAAAACTTGCTAGGACAATACTTAATTTTCACCTGGACTGCCAGCTAAGACACCCACCCCCTCAGGAAAGCGTTACGAAAGGGCTTTCAATGCACAGTGTGCTTGATAAAACACACACTAAAACGTAACAAGCATTTAAAGACAGAGTAATTCAGAGATGCTTCAGGCTGACCACCGTGCAGACACAGAGTGACGGGGCAGCAGGATCCGTGTGCAGCTGCCACCCCACAGCCCCAGCAAGGTGGATCAGTGGCACTCGATTAGTTCTCAACACCAGATCAACTCCACCTAGCAAGGACCTGCATTTTCTATTCCTACCCCTACACCTGCCAGTATCTGGTTTCTGCTGTTTGCTGAGAACACTAATTGTGAAGTTTCAGCTCTTTATTGAGACCTTCTTAAGCATTTAGCAGCCAGACCAGTATTAGGAGATACTCTATCACTAAGTGCACTGCATTACTTCATTGTGTTTTGCATGAAGTTTTTCTTCCACTACTGACTCCCAAGCAATGCTTCAACATAAAATATTATATTTCATCTCTGAACAAACAGCATAATTAGCAATGAAATGAGGGGGGAAAAAAGCAAAAGCTTACAGATGTGCCTCTTACCAAATGGTCTCTCTGAAAATGTAGTGCGTCAAACAGCTCATGAAGACACCCAAAGGCCAGAGATTGTTTCCATTTTTACTGGCTTATCTTTAGTCTAGAGGATCACTTTCAAGAGCTATGACAAGATCCACTGCTATTTCAGAAGAACTAGGGCCCAGAAAAGCTTTCTGATTTTCACCCTTGTGACAGAGCCACAGATTTTCCCAGCTGGCATTTCCCTGACTAGCAACATCATGAAGAGTCCTTGGAAGGCCCTCCTCCATCAGCCCCCGGATCGCCAGCTGAGGTCCAGCTCATTCCAGGCCAAATCTGCAGCTGGCAATTTATAACTGCACAGGTCGGAGGGGATAAAGAGTTTAAACTATTTTATTATTATTTAATCCACCTTAATCAAGAAAGTCCTACCTCTTCATTTCGCCAGCGATTAAACATGTACGTGTAGGCACCGGGGTAACCAACAAACTTCCCTTTGAAGAAGGCCACATAGAAGCAGGATGAATAGTAGTTGACAAACTGGAACAGAAACATTTTCATAGTGAGCCTGTTCTCATACTCCATATGAGTTCTGGGAATCTCTGTGAAACCAGAAAACAGTAATTTTATTTTCCTTTATTCCCTTTAAAAGGATACAGATTCATAAATACTTATCACCCACTGTGCCTTTACAGCCCAAAGGGAAAAAAAAAACAAACCACAAAACCACCACCTACAAACAGTTCAGCAGATGGAATTCCTGCTCTCAAGACACCCTGCCCTTAATTTACAATGCAATGCTCTGAGAAGACAAGCAAGTAAAATTAATTCTTGAAATATTTATAAGCTTCAATTTCCCCTTCTTTGTACTGTCCTCTAGCACTTGTCCATCACAAAAATCTTACACTATTTTTAGGAGAACCAAGATGAATCTCAAACATTAACTAGCAGGGTCTTCTAGACTATGAAAATTTCATTGTTGGCAATGCACATGATAAAGATTTCTTTTTTCTTTGTTGCAATGGAATACATTACAATATTGTTTGTTTCAGTATGTTTTGTGTGTGTAACATTAAAATCAGCAGAAACTGGATGGGTCCTGTGTCTTGGAAAGATGAGACTCATAGTCGGGGCGGGGGGGGGGGG